TTTGATTTATTGTAGAGATGAGATCTCGCCAAGTTGCCCAGGCGGGTCTCGAACCCGCGAACTCAGGCAATCCACTCACCTCAGCCTCCCAGAGGTGTGGGTTTACAGGCTGAGACCCCGAGCCTGGCTTGCAGATCTTTTAAATGTTTGACTTAATAGAATACAACTGGATTCTCTTATCTACTTCTGCATTCACACTATTGTGATATGCTGTTTAGGTTGAAGCATGTAAAGAAAATTTAGCCTTATAGAGAAGTGTAATTAGAAAGGAGAGTGTTCTTATTTATTTTTTATTTTATTTTATTTTATTTTTTGAGTTGGAGTCTCACTCTGTCGCCCAGACTGGAGTGCAGTGGCTGCTCCCAGCCACCACAACCTCGACCTGCTGGGCTCCGGCGATCCTTCCGCCTCAGCCTTCCAAGTAGCTGGAACTACAGGCGTGCGCTACCACGCCCGGCTAAGTTTTGATTTATTGTAGAGATGAGGTCTTGCCAAGTTGCCCAGGCGGGTCTTGAACCCGCGGGCTCAGGCAGTCCACTCACCTCGGCCTCCCAAAGCGCTTGGGATTACAGGTTGAGCCACCGAGCCCGGCAAGAGAGTGTTTTTAATAGCCTTTTAATGTACTTGTTGTTGCTGTTCCTTGGTGTTACATCACAACTAAACAAGTGGTGGTTTCTTAAGGATAAACGGCAATGTAGTATCCGAAATCATATCGATGAACTTTTCTGTATTTTGTTACATTAAAGTTCATTTGGTGTAGCTTGTCCTTTGAATGGGTCTTACCTGTACATGACTTTGTGGAATTGTGCATTGATAATTTAGAATATATTGGTTGACTGAGTTATACTTCCAGACTCAATATTTTCCAAATATTTTACAATTGTATGATAGCAAAAGAAAAAACAAAGACACTTATTAACTGTCACCAATGATCTTATAAAAAATGTCTTCAAAGCTGTCAAGCTCATAGTAGCCTGTAACAGTTTCCCAAAGTTCAATTTTTTGCTTGAAAAGTATATTTTTGTATCAGAAAAAAATATCAGATGATTTTTCTTGAAATAACTAGCTCTCTTCTTACATTTTACAGGGAATGTCTATCAAATCTGAATAACTATACTTTGTCATTTTTTCATCGTATTCTGTGAATTAAAGGAGCTAGTTCTGCTTAGAACTTGAACTATGACACAAATACTTTATATTGAGACAATTATCACTTTGATATACAGAGAAAGCATTTTGTATGTGGTTCCCATTTTGTCACACAGGATTTTAAATGGTATGTATTCAAGAGCTGATATTTAGTAAAATGAGTACTTTTTTCTGTTTCATCGAGGACATTGGAAAATGAAATCGATATTTGTTTAAAAAACTGTGAATGTGTGGCAGTGTAGATTTCTGCCTTGATTTATGCTCATGTGCCAGCAGTTTTTACACAATTGCTTTAGTATCTTCCATGTAACTGTCAGCACAGTGAAGGGACAAATTTGTTGTTGTGTTATTTTGAAAATAGTTTTGAACTTGTGAACCCCTTAAATGGATATCAGGGTCTCTGGGGGTGTCCATGGACTAAACTTGGAGAACATCTAGCTTACAGGAGTGAAGACACTATAGGGCAACTTGAGATGTTTTTCAGACTCGCTTTGTTTGTTATACCTTTAATGATTTTTATACCATTAATGGGTTATGCATAGAGTCAGTGCTAAACTCTTCAGCTAATCCACTGCACTTAATTTAGTCAATTATCTGTAGGTAAAAAGAAACTTTATCTAAAGAATCCACTAAATGTGGTTACCTGAAATGTGTAGCATAGTATCCAAAATTGAAAAACTTTACTAAACCTGTTTTCCAGCAAGTGGGTTTACTAATTCCTTAGTTGGTGAATTTTTAGTTCATAAGTAAATGCTATTAATGGAGTAGGCCAAAATTATGTACTTTTCTTGCTTAATTAAGAAACTGGAAGGACTTTTTTCATTATTGAGTCTCTAGACTAGGAGTTGGAAAACAATTTCAAGGGCCAGGAAGTGTTTTAGACTTTGAGCCAGACAGTTGCTGTTGCAATTATACAGTTCCACTGTAGTCACTTGAAAGCAGTTCTAGACAATGTGTGAGTGAAGAAATATGGCTGTGTTCCAATAAAACTGTTTATACAAATAGGCTTTGTGGACTGTAGTTTGCTGACCCTGTTCTAGATCAGCAACCTCTCATATGGAATGATATACCCCAAGGAAAATCCAAGATGAGCTACAAAAAAGTATTAGAACTTTTACTTATATTTATTATTGACTGATTTAAAATTTTTTCTTTATAATATGTAAAAATACTATAATACTTAGTATGTAATGGCTAAACATTATAATATTAGGTGATTCTTAAACATTTTTTTTTGCTACAGTGGGCTAGATCTATAAAATATGAAGATCACTGCTGTCATTATCATTTTTCCTGCTAATGCCTAAATATTTTGACTAATTGCTATCTTAATTGCCTTAATCTTCAGGGTTTATCCCTTCTTTCTTTTTTAAAAATTTTATTTATTTATTCCGCCTCAGCCTTCCAAGTAGCTGGAACTATAGGCACGCGCTACCACGCCCGGTTAATTTTTTTAAAAAAAATTTATTGTAGAGATGAGGTCTTACCAAGTTGCCCAGGCGGGTCTCGAACCCGCGGGCTTAGTCAATCCACTCACCTCAGCCTCCCAAAGCATGGGATTACAGGCTGAACCAGGCTTATCCCTTCTTTCTTTCAGCCACTGAACCAGGCTTATCCCTTCTTTCTTGAGGATTTATTTTTTTCCCATGATTCTTATTAAAATTAGAGCCACCTTCTATAGAAGGAAGCTGTTTTTAGTCCTTTTAGGTGGCCTTTATTCATAGTATTTTGCTAATCAAGTTACAACTAATTTTATTGAGTGAACATTTCTATATAGCAGAAACTTGAGTATACTTATCCATAAAGGAATTGGTCTGTACTTAATTGGTACAGTTGTCTGAAAGGATTTATTGCACCATATTTTGAACATTATGCATATCATTCTATAAATCTGAGAGGTTTTATAAAACCTTTCAAATACCTCTGCTGGCATT